CTCCAGGCTCTGAGCCATCAGCCCAGAGCCTGACGCGGGGCTCGAACCCACGGACCGCGAGATCGTGACCTGGCTGAAGTCGGAGGCTTAACCGACTGCGCCACCCAGGCGCCCCTAAAAAATTTTTTTTTAAATATTGCAAAAGAAATGCTTTCACTACTTCAAATATTTTCTAAGTACAGTGACAGACTCCGATTTAGAACCTGAAGTTCATAAGAAAAACAAGGCCCCTACCTTCAAGAAGCTTACAAATGCAAACAAATGATTAAGTAAGGCAATTTCAGATAGTGATTGGTGCTATGAACAAAATTATTACAGAAGTAAAATATCTGCTCAATGAACACACAGGATAATCACGTTGGGGTAGAGAAAATGTAACTGAAAAGGGATAAACAGGGGCACCTGGGTGGCTCAGTTGGTTAAGCATCTGACTTCGGCTCAGATCATTATCTCATGGTTCGTGGGTTCATGCCCATGTCAGGCTCTGTGCTGACAGCTCGGAGAGTGAAGCCTGCTTCGGATTCTGTGTCTCCCTCTCTCTCTCTGCCCCTCCCCCGCTTGCGCTCTGTCTCTCTCAGTCTCTCAAAAATAAACATTTAAAAAAACATTTTTTTTAAAGGAATAAACAAAGGCTTTCGATGCACTGGAAAAGAGAAGCATCACCTTTCTTAAAAAATGAGTACTCACTTTTCATATTATACTGAGTGGAAACATGACAGATTGGTTAAAAACATGGACTTCGGGGGCGCCTGGGTGGCGCAGTCGGTTAAGCGTCCGACTTCAGCCAGGTCACGATCTCGCGGTCCGTGAGTTCGAGCCCCGCGTCAGGCTCTGGGCTGATGGCTCAGAGCCTGGAGCCTGTTTCCGATTCTGTGTCTCCCTCTCTCTCTGCCCCTCCCCCATTCATGCTCTGTCTCTCTCTGTCCCAAAAATAAATAAAAAACGTTGAAAAAAAAAAATTTAAAAACATGGACTTCAGATCTGATTCCCTGGAATATTTAATTTTTCACACCCTAGTTTCTACATCTAAAAATCAGGAGTAATAAGAGCACCTACCTCACAGAATTGTTTTGAGGACTATTACATATGTCAAGTGTTCATACACTGTTTTTTGAAGACCTATATTAGTGGTACCTATCATTTCTATGAAGTCACAATAAACTTTTGACTGTGGATAAAGTAAATCCTTCAGTCAACATGAGAAAGGGGATGAGGCCAAGGTATTGAAGAGAATGTGACTGAGAGCCATAGGAGGAATACTGAACTGGGATGGAGAAAGAAAACCCCCAGGAGAAGGTGACAGCTATACAAAATTGAATCCTAAGAGGTCAGTTACGAAAAGATGGAGGGAAGAAACAGCTAAGTTGCCATGGTGAGAATATATCATTGAAAAATATTTACAATAGATGAAGTAAAAATTGCAGATTATAAATGTCAAGGAAAATGTCACAATTTGCTTAAGATATGTATACATTTAATTTATATATATAAATTCAATATAAATGCTAAGATTTACAAGCCATGCTTTATTATTTCCTTACACTGTTTTTCATTGGTTTTGGTCTTTGGTGTGAATAAAATATTTTAAAGTTATAACTGGTATAGCATGCTATTAGTAATAAGGCCATATTTAATCCCCCAGATATGCCAATCAGCTTTGCTGGTGTCTAATGCGACAATCTGTACCTGCCATTATACCTCTAATATAACGGGAAGGTCTGGTGGTAAGATCAAACACTGCCTGAAAACCACATATCAGAGCAGAGGCACAACACAATCATCACATCACTGTACACATGCAGTGTAAAAACGGAGTGGCGGGAGTTTTCCTCACCTCGGTCCATTACTGTCTTTTCTCCTGGTTGAACAGTTGCCTTGCTCAGCTTTGGCTCGCTGATCTGGGAACTCATTCGCACTCCTATCTATAACTTCTCCGGCATCAAGTGCTCTGTGGAGTCGATAGTTGACCATCTTCAGAACAATGAAAACAGCAGCTATCACAGGACAATAAACTGCTACTATAATCATTGAAGAAGGAAGAGCCTTGAAGAGAAAGAAAATAAAGATAGGCATTTAAAAATATCGTATATTTTATTCAATTAGAGAAATCTGTAACTAAAATGACACACACAAAGCAACAATTACTTAGTTACTAGAAACTTAGTTACTAGAAAAAACTTAGTTACTAGAACTAAGTTGCAAAAGTGTAAGACAGCGCTGCCCAAAACCATAGCCACCAGCTACATGCAGCTACTGAGTATTTGAAATATGGTTTGTCTGAACGGAGATGGGCAGTAAGAATAAAATAGCAATGGACTTTGATGATTCAGCATGAGAAAAAAGAATGTAAAATATCTCAATAATTTTTACATTGGTTACGTGTTGAAATAGCGTTCAGAGTATACTAGGTTAAATAAAGTACATTATTAAACTTGTTTTCATCTGTTCCTTTTTACTTATTTTTAATGTGGCTATTAGAAAATTTTAAATTACATATGTGGCCTGCGTTACATTTCCGCTGGAGAGCGCAGTATAAAGTCCATGCCAAAAAGCTTATGATACAATTGGAGAGTTAAATATCACATTACATAATACACGAGTAAGACAGGAATGTGGTCCAGATATAGAAGCCCTGTTTATGTGCCCTCTGTAACTTTGTTTAGGATATAAACATTCTTTGGGCTCTACAAAGCTGTTCTAGTTAGAACTGTTAGAAGAAAAACCTTTGAACTAGGACTGTAAACACAGATAAGACATGGGAGACGTGCAAAATCCAAATAGGTTTTCTTTTAATACACTTAAAAACTGTAGCCTGACAAATAAAAGAATACAGAACAGAATCAAGCAAAAAAACAGATTAACTGAAAAAACTCCAATGCTTCCTGGGCATGAAGGCTGCAGACCTGTCAGACTTGAGGATCCACTGGTGTGGACCTGTCTCCAGGGGTGACAGGTGTGGAGGCCACCCCACTTGGGAGGCATGGCCTCAAGAGTCACTGCTGGCAGAGACTATATAACGAGGTTCTACTTATGCCCACTTAAATGAAACACAAATCACTCTGGTGTCTGTAGCTCTAGATTTTATAAGGTTTAACCTCAGTCATCTGACAACATGGTTCCAAACTTGCTTAGAAAGATAACTTCGAATTGCTTGAGATGGTGAAACTAAAAAGGGTCCTGGTGAACCAGGTAGGTTTACAATACAAACATAATAAAAGTTAAAAAAAAAAAAAAAAAAAAAAAGAAAGTTATTTGGGGTGGGGAGAGAAAAGGAAAGAGTGTGGGATGCAATTGGGAAAGGAAAATAAAAGTAAATCAAGCCCACAGTATACCTCTTTTGAGTTGTAAATAGGCATAATAGGTATAAGTTTGGTATTTTTAAAACTTGGAATAAGAAAGCCTTCATTTTAGCGTATCTATCTAAAAAAATTGAACCTGTGATCCCAATTTAAATGTCACTGAATGACTGATTTAGGCTTATAATTTTTTTAAGTTTGTTTATTTATTTATTTATTTTGAGAGAAAGAGAGCAGGTGAGGGGCAGAGAGAGAAGGAGAGAGAGAATCCCAAGAGGGTGATGCAGGGCTTGATCCCACAAACTGCGAGATCATGACCTGAGCCAAAACCAAGAATCAGACACTTAACCAACTGAGCCACCCAGATGCCCCTAGGCTTATGATTTTAAGTTGAAAAATGTATTTTTAATGTTTGTTTGTTTGTTTATTTAGAGACAGTGAGCCCGTACAAGTGGCAGAGGGAGAGAGAAAGAGGGAGAGAGAAAATCCCAAGCAAGCTCCATGCTGACAGCACAGAGCCTGACTGAGGATTCGATCTCACAAACAGTGAGAAACACTGGACCTGAGCCAAAATCAAGAGTGAGATCATGACCTGAGTTGAAATCAAGAGTTTAACCTACTGAGCCATCCAGATGCCTCCATTAAGTACAATTTAAATTAAAGGAGTCTTAAGCTGTATTAAAAAAAAAAAAAAACCAAACTCCCAAACATAGTTGTTAAAAACGGGTTCAATTTGAGTGTGAAACTGTTTTAATTTATAACTTTAATAAATCTAATTATTTTTGTAAAAAGACAAAAAACAAAAAATCCCGAATAACCTTTTCTGAGCAGAAGATACACATACTTAAACTGACAAAACAATTTCAAACAGAGAAACACATACAGACACATATACTACTTACAGTATTTACAAAAGTTCTGCATAATGCTGGTTTCTATACAAGATGTTCACATAAGAATTATAGTTCTTGGTAATCATTTAGTTTAACACCTTCATTTTCAGACAGAAAATTGAGACCTACTAACTTTGAAAAACTTAGCCAAGATTACTCATCTTAGCAACAAAATTAACCAAGACTTCTCATGCCTGTGTCACTGCATGTTTAAGTATACACCAATACCAATTCCATTTTAAATGTAAAGTGTCAATGCAAAGTAAGTCAGAATTCCATCATTATTCATCATAGCCCAAATTAAGATAAAAATTATTGGGGCGCCTGGGTGGCGCAGTCGGTTAAGCGTCTGACTTCAGCCAGGTCACGATCTCACGGTCTGTGAGTTCGAGCCCCGCGTCAGGCTCTGGGCTGATGGCTCAGAGCCTGGAGCCTGTTTCCAATTCTGTGTCTCCCTCTCTCTCTGCCCCTCCCCTGTTCATGCTCTGTCTCTGTCTCAAAAATAAATAAACGTTGGAAAAAAAATTTAAAAAAAAAAAGATAAAAATTATTGATTATATTAATTAAGTGGATTGAAAGAGAACAAGTTCACGATTGTTACTCAGAGTAGTAAATTCAGTGGAAATGTTAATGGCCCCTCCAAATGGTAAAAGAGAAAAGAGATACCTTAATACTGAATGGTCTATTGTGTCTGCCTCTACAAAGAGTCAAAGATTACGACTGCTAAAACAGATTGAAATAAACTCTCTCCCTACTATTATACTGCTAACAGTAGCACATGACTGAATGCCAAGAAACATACTAAATGTACAGGATAAGGACAGAATTTCTTTTTAAAAAACACTGAACAGTGAAAAGACAAAGTGAAATAAAAATTCAAGTGACCATTTCATACCAGAAACCAGTATCAGATAATGAACACTTGTATTTTCTACTCTAACTACAAAAGTTATCCATTTATTTTACACCCCGTGGTTTCAATGTTTAAGCCCCATCAATGGTTACGCTGGAGGCTTCTAGGTGACAGAGGACAGCTGTTCTATCAGTTCCACTTTTCCCGGGAGGGATAAAAATGCATGGACACACACTGGGCTGTTGTGTGACTTTATGTAAACTTGTTCTTCTACTTAACTTAGATTACTTCACTGGGCTCTCTGCTGACTCCAGCCCAGCGGACAGTATCAGTATGATCATAAATGTATCATAATATATTTTTTAAATATTTTAAGTTTGTTTTTTATTTTATTTTTTATTTATTTAGGTTTAAAAAAAATTTTTTTTTACATTTATTTATTTTTGATAGAGCACAAGTGGGGGAGGGACCGAGAGAGAAGGAGACACAGAATCCGAAGCAGGCTCCAGGCTCCAAGCTGTCAGCACAGAGCCCGACGTGGGGCTTGAACTCAAGAACCACTATATCGTGACCTGAACCAAAGTCGGATGCTTAACCGACTGAGCCACACAGGCACCCCTTTATTTATTTAGTTTTTAAAGTAGGCTCCACACCCAACATGGGGCTTGAACTCACCACCCCGAGATCAAGAATCACATGCTCTACTGAATGAGCCAGCCGGGCACTCCTGTCAGGTACTTATTGACTTAAGGTTAATTATGTTTCATAACAAACAATACTTTAATATTTTCAAAGGTCATGTTTCGTCCTAAGTTAGACTATTTTATCACAGATGTTATCTTCAAGTTAATGCTGATGCAACCAAGCCCATTAACTGCTCTCTGATAATAAAGAAGTCTATTTTATGTTCACTCCAAGGTCTATCTCCAAGTATAAATTGCTTACGTGGGAAGGCTGGTTTTACTTCTTAAGATACCACAAACAGTGGACAGCAGAAAATGAAGATGGGGTAGCAGGTGGCATAACACTGATGGATAAACAAGGCCCTCACTGAATTACCAGAAAGTCACAGCACTGCGAGCTCAGGATCAAGACCTGCACAGTCATCACGGACTTCAGGTGCTCTTCTTATACATCTTCAGGGTCTCTGCAGCTCACACATTTTATGTATTGAAAAGTTATAATATGAAAACAGACAAGCTGGGTAGTTTTTCAGTTCTATTATGCTATGATTAACTTCTTGTTTTGAGGGATTTGCTTACTCTTGTAGTCGCACTCAAGTATTCTGACCAGTTCAGTCGGAAATCAGTGGTCTATAACTAAAAAGGTTATCAGAATGGGAGACCATCACCCACAACGGACGTCAACCAAGGCTGTGAAAAAAAATATTTTAACAAATCTCTTAGAATAGCTATCATTAATGTAAAAACACTTTCTATGTTTATTTTCTCTTTCCACTATTGCAACTACCTTATTATTTAAGACAATGTTTACCAAACTTTTGGCTTCACAGCCTTAATGGGTATTCAAACATATGAACTATGTGTTTTACATAGAGATTCATCACATCTTAAGTTCTTAAACTGACAGATTAAAGATTTTAACATAAAGAGCAAAACTTTAAAAATTTTAGAATATAAAAGAAAATCTTTATGATCTTAGGATATTTCTTAAGCATGATTCTCAAAGTATACACTATAAAGGACTGATAAATTAAAATTAAGAACTTCTGTTTGAGAGACACTATAAACTGAGTGAAAAGACAAGCTACAAATTAGGAGATATATTAAAACATATATTATTATGTAGGCATACATATGTGTATATTTATGTATAAGTACATATGTAATATATAAAGAATAAAGATGTATAAAATCAGTAACAAAGAGGCAAACAAACCAATGAAAATAAAGGACAACAGACAGACCTAACACAGAAAAAGATATGATAAAAACAACACATGAAAACATGTTCAACTCCATCAGTAATAAGCAAAATAGA